AGGTACTATTATATGAATTATCATTTGTTGATATAGCAAAACATAACAATTACGAGTGTTAACCATTCTCATTATTTTGTAGGCGAAGCCTTCTGCAACTAAATGGAAATTGTCAACTATAAGACATTATGATTTGATGGAAGAATTGTGGGGTGCTTGATCGAGCCATTGGACATATGGCAAGAACTTCGCGTCGATCCGAATGAATATCGGTTCTCGAAGGGCAACGATCGACTTGAACGTTGATGTGGACCCCACACCGGAGGAGCAACCATTTCACTTTGGCTTTGATGCGGGATTTGATACAGACTTATCGATCACCTCCACGCATGGGTTCCGACAGTCTTCTCGAGGGTGCTCACTCAATTCCATCTCGTTGCGTCTCATCGGTTCAGGTGGAACCTCTTCATCTCGGGGCACAAAAAGAAAAGCGCCTATGGTTGATGTGATGGAAGGTCAATTTGACAAACTAACAACGAGGCTGGACACATTTACAGATTACCTCGGGCAAAGTAATACATTGACCCAACGATTATCTGACATAGCTGAAAGACAGGTGGTCGCCATTGAACGCAGAAATGAGTTAATTAATGAGCAAGTTAATGTGATGAGACGATCATCAACATTTCAACATTCGGAGTCGATATATGGGACATGTTAGTCGGCATGAACCTAAATGACGAGCAACTTATGCTTCGAGTGTTATAATCATTTGTGTACTCGCGAATCACATGTTAGACGACTTTTTGGCTTGCCCTCACATCTTCGTCTCTCCCAGTTGTTCATGTTCTTGAGTGGAAGTGATTGAATGATCTGAACTGGAGGACTTGACTGCAAAAGATGAATAACATTATAATTATTTGTTTGAAGAGCATTAGTGTGCATAGGTTTATAATTTTAGTAATGTTTCATTTAATTATTATTCTATTTTCACTTGTATTTTATATTTGTTTTAAATAATAATGTACAATTATATTATTAGTTTTCATAATTATTTGTTATTATCAATCAATATTAATTATTATTTTATATTTTATAATTATTTAATTATTAGTCAAATAATTTATTTAATATGTCAACATTATTTGAATATGGATATGCAATGTACATAATTTTGTAATTGTTTATTTATATAATTTTTAATAACTATCTAAAAAAAGTTAATTTTGTAAATTTGTTTCCAATTACAAACACTTTTAAATTTGTTTTTTCTTTTAACTATATAATCAATGTTAAAATATGGATAATTAATTAAAAAATTATATTTATAATCATTTGAACCTTATTTTATACAAAGAGTAAAATGGTAATTTTTTTAAATAATCAATTAAAATTATAATTTTTATATCTCATATCAATCAAATCATTCACAATTTCCCATAAACTTTCCTTTCACTTTCCATTCATCCAAACAACTTTAATTTCATCTCCATTTCTCTTCAAATCCCTCCTTTTCCACTCTCTCATTTCCCCTCTCTCAAATCACTCCAACCAAACAAAGCATTAAGGTAGGGGAGGAAAATATTATCATTAAATCTATTTTATTTTGCTTATAGTTGTGGAGTGAGGTGTCCCTAACCTCATTCTATTTATTTGGTTATTTGTTTATTTATCTCTAACTACGTATGAACCTACCTTATGCTCATTTTATTTTATTTTCAGTCTTGCACTGGTCCTAATTTAATTATCTTCAGTTATGTACTGGTGTTGTTCATTTTATTTTATCTCCAGTCTTGCACTGGTCCTAATTTAATTATCTCTAGTTATGTACTGGTCCTGTTTGTTCATTTTATTTTATCTCCAGTCTTGCACTGATCCTAATTTAATTATCTCCAGTAATGTACTTGTTCTGTTTGTTCATTTTATTTTATCTCCAGTCTTGCACTGGTCCTAATTTAATTATCTTCAGTTATGTACTGATCCTGTTTGTTCATTTTATTTTATCTTCAGTCTTGCACTGGTCTTATTTTAATTATCTCAAGTTACGTACTGGTCTTGTTTGTTTACTTTATTTTATCTCTAGTAATGCAACGATCTTATTTATTAATCTATAGTTATATTATTCAATTACAATAATATCTATTTGTGAAGATTTGATGATATTGTAGATGAAGGTTGGACCTTGGGGATTTAAATGAGTAAATATCACTGTGAAAGTGATTAAAATTGAACTCATTTATCCTGACTAGTCACTACAAATTTAATTTAAATCTTCATAAAATAGAATGTGTTGAGGAAGTTGAAACATATATATCTATATATTATAAGATTGTATTATTGTAATTGATAAATGTTCTCACTCCCTATTGTGATCTTTTGTGCATGTTTTATTTAAAAATCAACTTAAGTAGATGGAGGCGCCAAATATTCGAAATCCCTTTTCTGCAAGCATCACTGCCTTCTTTCCCGGAACTACTTGGAACACAAATGTTATAGACAATTTGGTTACTTTTAGAGGGATAGGATTTTTAATAATAACATTTGTATCTGATATGGGAAATCCCATTATGTTAGATGGGCCAGTAGTGGTTACCTTTTGTATGCCTCCTACCTTTTTCCAAAACCCCTTAATTAGTTTGTTTCCACCTAGCAATGTAGATACTTGTAAAATCGTAGAAAAAAAAAGAAGGAATAAAAAATAAAATTCCTTCTTCTATTATATATCTTTTACATATATGTAATATTTTTTTGACCTCCTACTCTTATATAAATAATAATAATAATAATAAAAATAAACGTCACATTATCATCTCGTGGGCACATTGTTGTCGGCACTCACAATACCATTCGACCACCCTCCACACAGAGTAAAATTATTGACGTCCTTCATCACTCATTCTGGAGTACCCCTCCGAGCGCGCCACCAGTCATCCCCCATCGACTTCTCACCACCTGATCTCGTAGTCTACCTGACCCAACCAATTAGTGAAGTCTGAGACCTCATCTGAATTCTTCGACATAATTAATACACTAATACACTCTGTACCACCACGAGTACCATTCAAACATAACAATAATCATTCACATCTGCCTGATTCTGGACCACCTGTCCTCACGGCTCATTCGGGTCAATAAATAATAGTACTTGACTGATTCTGGGTACCAACCCTCCGGCTCAGTCTAACCAATATATAACATCTAATGACTGATTCTAGACATCAGCCCTCGGGCTCAGTCTGACGCACACACATCTCAACACACTGTTGATTCTTTAAAATTTCTAATTTCATTCTATATTTTAATTATTTTTCCTAACATACCTTTACTTTATTTCTAAAATTCCAATTATACCTTTAAACATTTTCTATTATTCATTAAATTACTATTTTGCCTTTAATCTTTTATTAAAATTTCATGTATGTCCCTAAATGACTATTTTACTCTTTGACATTTTCGAAAATTCCTTCCGTGTCCCAAAAATTACTATTTTACCCTTAGACATTTTCAAAAATTTGATTTTTGTCCCTAGGATGTAAGATAATTATTTTAGCCTTGATCTTTTTCAAAAATCCCCCTTATCCCTTTCTTCAACCTCACATCCAGGAAGCCATGACACACATCCCGATTTTCAATTTTTAAGTTTCGAGCAACCAAAGTAGTTTCAAATCGAAATTAAATATGAAATATGTTCAATTTAAGTAAAAAACAACAATTTTACCATATAATTCACCCTTAATTTCAAGAATTTCAACAAAATTTCAAGTTTTCAAATATGAAGAAAACTTTAAGATCAGATCATTCAAATATTTAGATTTTTATTTCTATTCCTTATTCACTGGAGTACTCAACAATTCAGTCTCATATATTGAATGAATTAAACTTCCCTTATCTCGGTGTGATATTTCTACCGAAACTTTCCCACTTAATTCAAGTTCTCTCCTGTTTCACCAAATCTTACGTGAGTGGAATATCGTTTATCGTTTGCTTAAAATTTAGACGAAAGAAAAAAAGGATAGAGGAAGAATCAATTGTTGCCTGCTATTTCTTCACTACGAATTAGCGTGCGGAGGAAACTTCACTACGAAGTTTTGTACAATAATATTATTATATATATATATATATATATATATATATATATATATATATATAAAATAAAAAAAGTCACAAACTTTATCTTAAAATTCAAAATCATTATCAAGATTTTTTTTTCTTTCTTACTTTTTCTATTATACAACTATTTTTAAAAAATTATCTATAACCAGCTTTTTTAACTTTTTTCAGTTTCTCATTTTCCCCTTAATATTACATAGCTATTTTTATAAATTTTTTATTTGTTTATTTAAAAATTATAATTTGTTTTTGAATACTTTAGTAATCATATTCATAAATGTTTAAGTTATAACTTATTTTAATATTTTGGTAATTCTTTTCTAATCATTTTAATTATTATTATTATTATTCAACGAGAAAAAAAATGTAATGAATAAAATAAAAAAATATTCTTAATTTTTTTTTAAAACTAAGACCGTAAAATAGATTACTGGTCTATATCCATCTCCCCTTGATTGGTCCCTTCTAAGTTGATCATTTTTCAAATTTTAAACTGATTTTTGATTTATTTATTTTTTGATTAATCATATTATGAAAACTTAATTAAATACATGTAGCGAGTAAAAATATCTAGCGAATTTGAAGTGCAAGTGAACTTTTTTTTATTAATATAACTAAGTTGTTAAGTCAAAATAAATTGCTGCATAAAAGAATACCACTTATTATTAAATTCTGTTTTAATCATAAAAAATCCATACACAAAATAAGTAACAATAGGTGATTAAATTAATACAAATAAAAAAATGTAACTTCTTTTATATTTAAAATTTTAACGTAACCTTTACCCAAATCTAGTACGATTTTCCATTTTACCCAAAACTCAATGCACGCTCTTCTCTCTTCCATGGTTTGAGTTTGAATTTGATTTGGACGAGGTTGGATGTTTGCAGTTACTTTGAGTTCTGAATCTGATAGTTTTCTGAATTAGGGTTTAAGTTTTACACGCAGAGATGGGTAGCCCCTCGAAGGAGAATGAAAGTAAGGGGTTTTTCGCCGCCATGTCCTCTATCTTTACCAACGCTGTGCACCGATCAGTCAACGGGTACTTCGTCTTCATCATTCCTTCCCTAACTCACCTCAAATTGTCAATTCTAAATGCCTGTGTTCATTTGCGCTGTTTCAACTTTCTAGTATCATTTGATGATTGCATTCCTAGTGTGAAAAAAAAAAAAAGTTGTTCCCCCCGTTGATCATGTGATTGAAATGCTTTTCCTGAATTATACGAACTAGCGACGTAGGATATTGCATTCCTACAACACTAGAATTTCAGTTAATTCTAGCAGTGTTCAAAAATACCTGTCAGTTTTTTACTAGGATTTGCAATGATTTGGAGAGGAATTTAAGCTTATTTATATGTTTCTGTTTTGTTTCTAGGCTTCTTGGATATGAAGGTGTGGAAGTCATCAATCCAGAGGGAGGTAAAGAAGATGCAGAGGAGGAAGCACATAGAGGAAGATGGAAACAAGAGGTATTTATTTATTTTATTTCTTTTCAGTATTTTTTAATTTCTTGCTGTTTCTAGTATTGCTTTTTCTCCAGCTCCCTGTTTGGACATTTAAAATGCTCCTGTAAGTTACTACTCTCTTAAGTTCGATTGTCTGTGCTGTTTCTAAGTTTTATTCCTGTTCATGATAATGATGCTGACATATATGTTTTGGTTTTGTTTTATTTCCTTCTTCTTTTCTCTGGCATATACTTAATTCGTACGTGTTCATATTCTGAACATTTTTTTATCGTTTTTTTTCTCCCTTTGGCTATTGTATGTAAAGGAAAGAGATGGTTACTGGAAGATGATGCAGAAATATATTGGCTCGGATGTAACATCAATGGTGACACTACCAGTTATTATCTTTGAACCGATGACTATGCTTCAGAAAATGGCCGAGGTCTGCTGACTTTTAGTTTTCTCATTGTTTTTGATGGTTTTGTAGTGTCAATTGATTGGACTTAAATTGCTTGTACTAGTTGATGGAGTACTCCTACTTGTTAGATCAGGCAGATGAATCAGAGGATCCATACATGCGATTAGTTTATGCAAGTGAGTTAGTTTTATCTCTTTTTATTTTCTCTTCTAACCTTTTTTCCCCTCTAAGTGAAAATTATCCCTAGGATATATAGTTTTAGGTAGGAATGAATGTCAAACCCGAAGCATTCTAACTAGTTTTGATCAAGGATTTGTTTTACTGGCCTCAAATATCTTCATCTGAGGCTTTTTTAGTAGGTTTTGTTCTTCAATCTTTCAGTTGTTTTGAAGTAACTATAGGGCTGTGTTTTCCTGATTATTTCTTCATTATTGTATTTTATGATAATCATCACAGCATCATGGGCTATATCGGTGTACTTCGCTTACCAACGAACCTGGAAACCTTTCAATCCTATCCTTGGAGAGACTTATGAAGTGGCTAATCATGGAGGAATTACATTTCTTGCAGAACAGGTATAATTTGACTATGTGATTATCATGGAAACTCTCTGATGCAGTATGTTCTATGTCACTCTCTCTTCTTCTCTGTGCATGTCTCTTTGGAATATAGGGTTCTTTAGCACCTGGAAAAAATATTATTATTTTTTTCTTATTTTCTTAGGTGCCTTAGGCCGCAACAAATTATATGGGTTTTGTTAATTTTCCCTCTGTATATAAAAAAAATTATTTTAAATTTCAGGTGAGTCATCATCCCCCAATGAGTGCTGGGCATGCTGAGAATGAGCATTTTACATATGATGTGACTTCAAAGTTGAAAACTAAGTTTTTGGGAAATTCTGTTGATGTTTACCCTGTTGGAAGGTATTGCAGTTGTTTAGTAGATTTCCTCTGTTGTATCGTTTTATTCTTATTGTTATTGATGAATTTGTGGCTTTTTTGTTCCAAAGTGGTACAGTATATAGCAATGCAACAAAATAATTATTGATTTAATGCTAGTTCTGATCTGAATTGTCTTCTATTGTTATTTTCTATTTAAGAAGGACTTGTATGTTTGCAGAACACGTGTGACTCTTAAGAGAGATGGTGTAATCTTGGATCTGGTGCCACCTCCTACAAAGGTTAACAACCTCATATTTGGCCGGACATGGATTGATTCTCCTGGGGAAATGATAATGACAAATCTGACAACTGGAGACAAAGCTGTGCTATACTTTCAACCATGTGGATGGTTTGGGTCTGTATCATTTCTGTTTCTACTTTCTAAAGAAGCAATTTAATACCTTTTTAATTAGTTTGTACCAGTTCTATATTGGATTTATTTCAACCTTTGAGCAATTTGTTAGGTTATTCTATAACAGGTTTGACTTCAATGTATAATGTCATTGAAATGATTTTCTTTGGTAATGTGGCATTAAATATTTTTGTTTCACCAGACAATTTGATTTGATTGACCACTAGTTGCATGCCAAATTTTGCTTGTTAAAATTGAGCTATTTGAAAATAATTGAGTGGCCTGAATTGTTTCTGTCTTCAGTTAGGATTTCTATATTTTACTTCATCTTTTTTCACTCAGCTGTTTAGGTATCTTACTATTGTCAATATATCTAACCTTTAATTAGACGCTATCTATTTCCTGATCTGCTGTAGTGCTGGTCGATATGAAGTGGATGGATATATTTATAATTCTTCGGAGGAGCCTAAAATATTAATGACTGGGAAGTGGAATGAGTCAATGAGTTATCAACCTTGTGATTCAGAAGGAGAGCCTCTCCCAAACACAGAATTGAAAGAGGTGATTTTCCAATCAAGAATCTTCCCAATGAACTTGAGATTATTTGCAATTAAAGTTCGTGGTAACTTTGCTTCAAAAACTAGACATTTTGCTATTTTCTTGGTCTTACTGTTTGATGACAAATAACATCTTTGAAACTTTAGTCTTTATCAAAGTTGAATAGCATCGTGTGATCCATGTAGTGGATCTCATCTAATTGGACAAAGCATTGTTGTTGTACTGTTTGAGGATAAAGTCGTGGCCCAACTTGTTACTCTTGGTATATATGTAAAAGTTGAAGAGACCAATGCAACTGGCCATGGTCTCTTCCCAGGTAATATCCTTCATCCATCAACCCCCAGCCCCTCAAAAGAAGAAAAGAACTTTTCTCTTTTCTCCCCACTTCCACCTAGCATAGAACTCAATGTATTCAACTATTTCTATTAGTTTACTTCTATTCTAGTATTGCAAATCATGTTTTTTAATTAATCTGTGTTTGTGTTCTCTTCCTTTTTAAGAAACCTGAATTTATGCTGGAAATTTTGAACCTATCTTTAAAATGCTAATCGTTGAAAGAAACTTCATGATGTGATGCAAGAAGACACTATTCAAGTATATTAGGTCGGTTTCTTATACATATCTGTTCACAAGATGCATAATCTCTTGCAACCAAATTTTTAGCTTTATTTATGAATTCTTTTACCAGAAGTTATAACCATTGCAATCAATAATCTTACTTGTCACTTTGGATAAGAAACAATTTTGCACTTATACTTGACTGATATATCGATTGGTGAGGACACTAATACCTTAAAGTTGCTGATCATTTTCATTGGCATTTCCACTGATTTTATTCTGCAGGTTTGGCATGTTGCTGATGTTCCACAGAATGACAAATTTCAGTATACATATTTTGCTCATAAATTAAACAGCTTTGACACTGCCCCTAGAAGGTTGTTGGCATCAGACTCTCGTCTACGCCCAGATAGATATGCACTTGAGATGGGTGATCTGTCAAAAGCTGGGGCAGAAAAGAGCAGGTTCCTTACCCTTTCTTTTGTTCCTCCTGTCCCCTTTGTCTTATGTAATTATTCGTGATATCCATTTAACTAACTTTGCTTAGTTGGAGGAAATTCGTTTTGTGTGGGTGGGGGTTCGGTTTTAATTGATCATTCTGTGGCCATCCATATTGATATCTCTCTCATGCCCAAGGGAGTGGCTGGAAATTAGAACCATTTTGTATTCGCTTGAGAATTTGTTAGGCTTCTCTGCTACTGCCATCCCCTTTTTCAAATAGAAATAGGCTTATCACCAGAGAAATTTGGTGAGGTTGATTCTCAGGGTATTTATCTTTTACTTGTTTCCTTTCAGTTTGGAGGAGAGGCAGCGTGCTGAAAAGAGAACCCGAGAGGAAAAAGGGCATAAGTTCATACCTAGATGGTTTGATTTAACTGAAGAAGAGACAACAACTCCTTGGGGTGATTTGGAAATCTATCAATATAATGGTAAATACACTGACCATCGGGCTGCTGCAAATAACTCCTCAGGAAGCATTGATGACTTTGATGTTAAAGCAATTGAATTCAATCCATGGCAGTTTGGTAATTTGGCCACGGAATGAATTAGTAGTGTCAATTTGCTTTTGGTGTTCCAATGCTGCAGTTGATTAATGTAACTTTTTTTTTATACATAGAGTTTATTTATTTTATTTTGGTCGTTTTTTGTGGCTTGTTTCCATTGTAATATCCGCATTTCTATTTCTGTCTACATTAGTATTTTGATTCTCTCTCAGACAATAGTGGTGTTTATTGGTAGTGTTAAACATGCAACATATTCGAGGCTTTTCTCAATAATTTGAATGGGGCAACAGATAACACATTCCTCCAACAGAAAGGGTAAGATGCACAGTTCTTAATGATTAAAAATAACAGACATTTATGGTATTAATTTGAAAGCAACTGTGTTACATGCATTGAACGTTTGTACCAAACTCAGAGTGTAAAGCAAGTGTTTGAGACCAATATGCATATAACCTTTGTTTCTTGCGGGATTCTTGACTCATTTTGGTAGCGAGAAGATTATAGGGGAAGTAGGTTAAAGATTACACGTTAGAAATTCTCTTTGAAAACACAATCAAATGAGAAAAAAAAGTTGTTTAATCAAATAACTTAGAGTGGATCTAGCTTATTTTTAAATCTGTCAGATATTGTTTAGATATAGTTTGATTAAACAATATTTTCTGTTTATTTTATTTACTTTCGGTTATTTTTTTAGTTGTATATCTCTATCATAAATAGATTATTCTATGTGTGATTTATATACAAGGGAGATTAATTTCAAACCTTATTTCCTCTATATTCAACATGGTATCTAGATCTTAAGGTTATATTAATTTTTTTTTCGCCTTTTGTCCACTGTTGGAGTTGTCCCACCGCTGCTAGAGCTGTCCTATCGCTGTTGGTAAACTGATTCTCCGCATCAGAAAAAAATTATCTTTGTTACTGAATTTATTTGGTAGTGTGGAAGTGCATATCTAGGAAAGTTCTGGCAAGGAAAAACTTGATATTTAAGTGTGTCTATTAGTGACCCACATCTCTTTCCTAAGAACTTACCTGGTGTACTGGTTCACGTTGCTGTCACCGTTGCTGCTGGAGCAATCACCAGATCTGCCGTTGCCGGAGAATTTGTCGGAGTTTCAGTTTTTGACCGGTGAGATATGATTTTGCTTGTCTCGGTCAGGTGACCACCGTGCCGTTGAGATCATCATTATCGGAGTTGGTCATCCCGTTGTCTCTTGTACCGTTTAGTCTTGACGAACTTATTTTTAGTATTCTCATTTTGAATTTGTACTTCATGGGTTGATTGAATTACTTTGGATTGTTTTAGGGTTTGTTCTCCCGCTCTTCATGACTTCTTTCACTTCTTCTACTATTTCCAATTTTGTTAATGATTCTTTTGTGTTGACATCCCATCGTGATGACTGGACTCGCCCTCGCAAATAGGGAAAATGACGTCCTAAGTGTGAACATTGTGGCAAACTAGGTCACAAGATTAACAAGTGTTATGCATTACATGGTCGTCCTCCTCGATCTGTTACAGTTGTTCAGACCAATCTTTCCCCAACTTTATCTGTCGGGGATCCTCCTTCTTCTGTTGCATCCGACATGCTTGCTATGTTCAACAAATTTCTCAAAAGGTATAAGGATCAACAGTCTTCTACTTCCACTAAATCTGTCACACATACAAATACATATTTTGCTGGTCTGACCCAATCTTTTTTTCTTGGTCCTTGAGTTTTTGATTCAGGAGTCACTGATCATATTACTGGTAACAAGTCTTTGTTCTCCTTTTTATCCTCTCCTAATCATTTACCTTCTGTTACACTGGCTGATGGCTCTAGAGTTTCATCTCATGGTGTTGGAACGATTCAACTTTTTCCTTCTTTAACCATTGATAATGTTCTTTATGTCCTTGTGTCTCCTTTTAACCTGTTGTCCATAAGTCGTCTAACTCGTTCTCTTGATTGTGTTGTTACTTTTACCAACAATTCTGTGTATTTACAGGACCAGAGTTCGAAACAGGTGATTGGCACAGGATGTGAGTCTCATGATCTTTATTATCTCCGTCCCTCTACACATGTTAGTACATTTATAAAGTCTCCCTTTCTTCTTCATGCTCAGTTAGGTCATCCAAGTCTTGCCAAGTTACAGAAGTTTGTCCCTGCCTTGTCCAACTTATCTAGTTTGTCGTGTGAGTCATGTCAATTAGGCAAACATAGTCGTACTTCCTTTCCTCGTAGTTTTACACGTGATGCTTCCTCCCCTTTTGCCGTGGTTCACTCTGACATTTGGGGACCTAACCGTGCTAAGTCTACTTTAGGTTTTTAATACTTTGTTACTTTCATTGATGTCCATATGCACTTGTTATTTTTGATGAAAAATCGTTATGAATTATTTCATATCTTTCAAACTTTTTTTAATGAAATTCAAACTCAGTTCGGTGTTTCTATTAGAGTTTGGCGTAGTGATAATGACCGTGAATATCTTTCTCATTCTTTTAAACAATTCATGACTTCTCGCGGTATTTTACATCAAACTTCTTGTGCTTATACACCTCAACAAAATGGTGTAGCTGAACATAAAAATAGACATCTTATTGAAACAACTCACACACTTTTAATTCATGGAGAGGTTCCTCAACATTTTTGGGGTGATGCTCTTCTTACTGCATGTTATCTCATTAATCGCATGCCTTCTTCAGTTTTAGATAATAAAATACCTCATTCAATTTTATTCCCTCATGAACCACTTCATCCTTTACCTCTGAGAGTTTTCGGGTCTACATCTTTTATTCATAATTTCAGTTCTGGTCTTGACAAACTTTCTCCTAGATCACATAAATGTGTTTTCTTAGGGTTTACAAGATCACAAAAAGGATACAAATGTTTTTCTCCTTCTCTTAATCGTTATTTTGTGTCTACAGATGTCACCTTTGATGAGTTGTCTCTTTATTTTAAAAGTCAATCTTCACCTCTGTCTTCATCCAATCTTGTCAACACTCCTAGTACATTTAATGTTCATGTTGTTTGTGACCCTCTAACTGTGTCTTCTTCACCATTAGTTCCTGCTCCACAGTCAATTTCTTCTCCACTGCCTCTTTAGATTTATAGTTGTTGAAATCAATCACAACCACCACCATGTGACTCCACTCAAGTGCCAACTACTTTGTCTCCTCCGGATCTGACACATGAGTCTGACCTTCCCATTGCCCTCCGAAAAGATATTCGTTCTACACGTAATCCCTCTCCCCATTATATTACTTTGAGTTATCATCGACTGTCATTACCTTTTTATACATGTCTTTCTTCTATTTCTTCTGTGACCATTCCAAAAACTGTTCGTGAAGCTTTAACCCATCTTGGTTGGCGTCAGACCATGTTAAATGAACCAAGTGTTCTTCATAATAGTGGAACTTGGGAATTGGTCCCGTTATCGTCTGGGAAATCTATTGTTGGTTGCAGGTGGGTGCTTGCTATCAAAGTTGGACCTGATGGTACTATTGATCGCCTCAAAGCTCGTCTTGTAGCCAAATGTTATACTCAAATTTTTGGGTTGGATTATGGAGATACATTTTCCCCTGTGACAAAGATGACTTCTGTTCATTTATTTATCGCTATGACCGCTCTTCAATAATGACTTCTTTATCAACTGAATGTTAAAAATGCTTTCTTCAACGGTGATTTGCAAGAAGAAATCTATATGGAGCAACCTCCTGGGTTTGTTGCTCAGGGGGAGTCTTCTGGAATGATATGTCGTCTTCGTAAATCTCTATATGGCCTAAAACAATCTCCTAGGGCTTGGTTTGGAAAGTTTAGCAAGGTTGTTCAACAATTTGGTATGACTCGGTGTGAAGCAGATCATTCTGTCTTTTGTCGACACTCGAGTGCTAGATGTGTTTACTTGATAGTATATGTTGATGACATCGTTCTTACAGGTAGTGACAACCATGACATCTCTCAGTTGAAACAACATCTCTGTCGCCATTTTCAGACCAAAGATCTTGACAAACTTAGATATTTCTTGGGTATTGAGGTGACACAGTCCAATGATGGTATTATTATATCTTAGAGGAAGTATGCCATATATATTTTGGAGGAAACTGGATTGATGAGTTCAAAGTCTGTTGATATACCTATGGATCCCAATACTAAACTTCTATCAAATCAGGGAGAGCCTATATCTGACCCTGAGCAGTATAGAAGATTGGTTGGAAAATTGAATTATCTTACAGTTACTCGTCCTGACATTTCCTTTGCAGTCAGTGTAGTAAGTCAATTTCTTAATTCACCATGTGAAGATTATTGAAATGCAGTCATTCGTATCTTGAAGTATATAAAAGGATCTCCTGGAAAAAGATTGTTATATGGTTCTAATAACTATACAAGAGTTGTTTGCTACTCAGATGCTGATTGGGTAGGATCTCCTTCAGATAGAATATCACATCTGGATATTGTGTCTCCATTGGTGGTAACTTGATCTCATGGAAAAGTAAGAAACAAAGTGTTGTGTTAAGATCTAGTGTAGAAGCAGAATATAGAGCTATGACCTCAGCTGCCTGTGAACTTGTTTGACTCAAACAATTTCTTAGAGAGTTACAATTTGGAGATATCACTCAAATGACGCTTGTGTGTGACAATCGGGCTGTTCTTCATATTAGTTATAATCCTGTCTTTCATGAGATGACCAAACACATTGAGATTGACTGTCATTTCATTCGAGAAAATATTATATTTGGAGATATCAAGACTGAGTTTGTTAACTCAAGTGATCAGTTAACAAATATTTCCACTAAGTCTTTACGGAGGCCTAGAATTGATTATATTTGTAACAAGCTTGACACATACGATTTGTATGCTCCAGCTTGAGGGGGAGTGTTAGATATTGTTTAGATATAGTTTGATATTGTTAACCACAATATCAAACAATATCTTCTGTTTATTTTGATTACTTTTTATTACTCTTTTAGTTATATATCTCTATTATAAATAGATTATCCTATGTGTGATTCATACACAAAGGAAATTAATTTTAAATCCTATTTCTTCTATATTCAACACAAACATTATATTCCTTAAAACTAGAAATGGAAAATTGATTGTTTTTTTTCCTCTTCCCTAATCCCACTATGTTAATAGAATTTTAATATATATTTGCTCACAATTAAAATGTAAACCAGTACTACTTCCCCTCGTCCTTAGTTTTCACTTTTCGTTTCATCTTTTCATGTTTATTTAAATTGTACTAGCAAAAAGGGTTGAACCCACGCTGATAATATATTATTTTGAATATGGGTGTTAATGGATAGTTTTTACAATTGAATAGTCACTAAAATTAAATTAAAAAAAATAATTTAATATAAAATTTTAACTAAATCAAATTAATGTTTTCAATTCAATTTGGATTGCTTTCTATTATTATAATAAGATTGTAAAATATTATTTTAAAATAATTATTAAACATTCATTTGGAAAGATTATAAAACATTTTATGATAACAAATTGTCAAATAAAGTTCGCATTTTAGTTACCTTTATCAGTCATTGGCTGCAACTAATATAAATTTAATTACCATCCATAACAAACCATTGATGGTTTTGATTAATAAATGCAATATTTTTCAAAGCGCATCTTTTGAGATCATAAATTGATTATTTGCATGAATTTTTAATACTGCGTTTGTTCAATTGGTCCCCACACCACTTTTTCTTCACTCTTGTACCATTACCTTGTTTGCACTCTCTTCAACTTTATCCTATGTTTGGTTTTCATATTCAGTTTTGATTAGTTTCTAAAGTAAGTTTACCCAACAAAAAATTATCTTATCTGAAATCTTAATTTTATGCATATTGCTCTAATAAATTGAGTTTGTAAACTTAACTTTAACTAAAATTTAAGGTATAAACATTCAAACATGTAGTTAGTTGTGTAATACTAATAGCATGATCCTAAAGTTTTCTTCTTTCACCCTTTTTTTTCGTTGGGTGTGTCTGAGATCTGAATGTGACTTCTACGTCAAGTAAATTACATCCAAGTTACGTGACCTTCAATCTCCCTCCAACTCCACTCTTCATCCCTAGTGCCATTTCCAAACTTGCTCCAATCATTTTATTACGTTCTGCTTTTTTTCTCTCTATCTCACTTCATGCTAATGTCAGTTCATAGGTCACACTCACACTTTTGACTGTCCTAGGTGTACTTCTGTTCTGCAAATCAATTAATTTTATACTCATCTTCACAACTCCCATTATCAACTGACCCAGCTTTTATGTTGTGAACATGACAAAAAAAGAAAACAGAACACAAAGGTTTTGTTTTCCAGCTTTGTTGGGGAAGGAACATGGAATCCTTTGCCTTGCCTTGAATCAAATTAATGAGAAGTGACCTAACACGCCATCTCTTTCGTGGGCCACCTTGCATTTCCTCCTTATCACGTGCCCTTACCCTTTTCCAACCCCAATTCAATTCCTAAAGGACAAATGCTTTTCAGTTTTTTCCATCTTTTTTCTGTAGCACTCAATAGTTTCCTGAGGATAATGTTTTGTTTATATTATTTCTATAAATTCAACTCTTATGTATAAAGCTTGCTTCTTTCATTCAACTTATCTTCATTGAAGTTATCATTGGTTAACTCATGAAATGGGTAGTTTTGATGATGCTATTTCATTGCATACATGTGTTGAATTGAATTATATATAAGGAATATATTGAAATAAAGTATATCACTTTTTAAATTAGGGTTTAACTCATACAATATAAATTCCTAAACAAGTTTCTCCATTTGAAAGTGACTCACATTATCCCTAAGAATACAAAGAAAATAGAGGTAGTGACGTGGAGATAGATACCAAGGGAGACACTTTTATTTTATATTTGTAAAATGAAAAAAAGGACGTGGTTCAACCACTGTTCTACTGCCACGTGTGACGATAAACCACTCTTTCTCGTGAGGTTGACACGTGTCCCCATGTTTTAACTTTTTTGTTTTTTATATTCTACCGTCAAAATCAAGCATTTTAATATTATTTGAATTATAGAGTAATTTGTAGTGTGTGTTTGCAGCAGTAGGTGAAGGATTACACTGCAATGACGTATTAACGGAGATTCCCTAACGCCGTTTAGCCTCTTATTGGTGTTCAAATGTTGTAAACGCCAAAATTGACAATGAGTGCGGTTAGAAATTAGAAAATTAACACAAATAAAGGGATCTCTAAGTTCTTCTCTCTTCACTTTTTATTTTGATATATATAACTTTCGGATAAAATTAATATTGTTTTAGGAGAAAATTTATTATCCAATTTGTAAAATAAATTTATAATATTTTTAAAATTATATCCAACAAGTGAAAATGTAAATATAGAGTTTAAAAATTTAACATTATTTGAGTTCCACCAACATTTTATAAAATGATAATTTATATTATATAATAAATTTAATAATAAATAATAATTTTTATAAAATATATTATTATAATGCTAAAAATTATTATTATAAATAATAATTAAGATTAAAGTATAGAATATATTAAAGAATGAAAAAATTAATAATCTTAAAAATAAGAAAAAACATAGTAAAATAAATGTTATTTAAAATTGATATAAAAAATTAAAAATATTATATTATTTATAAAATATTTAAAAAATTAAAAATTTTATGTCTTAAATTATTTTTTATAAATTAAAGTTTAATTATTTAAAATTTTATATCAATTTAATTAAAATATAATTATTTAAAAATAATATACTAATTTTTAGAACCATTTTCGATTAAACATATATAGTCGGATTTTTAAAATAATAAAATATTTTGAAACATTTATCTATCATTATAATAATATTAATGCCTCGTTTTAAATTATTATTTATTTTTTAACATTAATATTAATACAAATAAATAATAAATTATTACATTAAAAATAAATAGACGAGTAAACATAAGTATTCATAGTACATATAAAATGAAAAATAAATAGGTAAATACATAAAAAATTAACTAAAATACTTGGATATTTTATTAAACCATTACGCTAATAGTCACTACACATCTTAAAATGAACAATCTAATCTTAAAAAATATTTTAACTATTAAATAAAATAATATAATAATTAAATTAATTAAAATGAAACTTATTTTAATTTATCATATATTACCGTCTCAAATTTAACGATAGTTGTATTCAATTAAATAAATTTAAATTTAGTATAATTTAAATATAAAATTAAGTTAGATCTAAACAAAATTTAAACTTAATAAATTTAATTTTAAATTCAATTTATTTTACTATATCTAAATTAAATATGAAATTTAAACTAAAATATCCTCTTTTATGAGAAAATTTACCGTGAAACAATTACTTATTTTATTCGCCATTATAAGGAATAGATATAAAATTTGTTGCAAATAATGCATTTATATGTAAACAAATTTAAGAAAAAATATACTATAAAAATTTATGGAAAATTATTATAATTACAATATTTGTTTTGGTCCATAGAAGCATTATTTTTAACTCATAAATTGTGTCATAATGCATCACTAAAACCATCTTGCTTTTCCCACCCGTTATCTAAAGCCAAAGTAAGAATTACGGAAGAAAAAAAAATGGAGAAAAAAAATAAAAAATATTATTATTCAGTAAAAAAAAAACATAAAAATATTTATTTTTAAATAATACATAATTAAATTAAAATTAATTATTTAATAAATCACTAAATTATATATAATTATTAATTATTTTTTATTAATAAAATAACTTTTAAAATAATATTTTTAAATTAACATCTCAGCTTTTTAATAATATATACTTTAATATATAATTATAATTTTGTTATTATACAACTATTTTTTTCTCAAATTATTTAAAATTAAACTAATAAAATAATATTATAAACAAATGAAAAGATATATAAATTATTCATTTACTTTTTATAATTATTTTTATATTTATGATTTTATTAAAATAATAATTAATATATATATATATTAAAATTTTAAATATAAATAAATAATGATTTATTTGAGTAAAAATTATTTTGTAAAATAAAAATTCTCTTATATTTTTATTTATATAAGTAGAAAATAAAATAACTATTAAAAATATTTTTTTTTCATTAATCACTTACTATTTTAAACTTTTCCTATAATTAAAGAAGGCTTAAATGCTGCCTCTATAATAACATATTATTATATATTTTATTTACATTTATGTAACATATTTACATATTATTAATTAATTTTTTATTATTATAAAAAAATAACGGAAATAAAAAATAAAAAATAATGGAATTTTCAGTTACCTACTGACCCAAAGTTTTTCACCTTTTAACGTGCTATATCCAGTGGTCCGGGTGGTCATATAGTGTGCGTTGGGGGGGGTTTAAGCAAAGGATGGGAAGTATTTTCAGAGGGTTTTGGGGATTCAAAGTAACAAATTGTTTTCTTTTTCTTTTCAATTCAGTTTCCTAAGACAAAAACAAACCAAATCATGAGAGAAATTGTTTCTGGGATGAAAAACTAGTGTTAGCTGTTTTTGTTGGTTCACTTTGGATTCTTTGACAATTCGCCGATCGTACATTCGCCGGAATTTCGCTTCGTTCGGTCAAAATTGTGTTCTCTGAAGGGAAAAAGGTGAGGATGTTTTGTTTCACCCAAGGTTTTTATGACACTGATTTTGATTGCTAGCGGATGGATTTAATTGGAGACTGTGTCGTCGGTTCTGTTGCAACTTCAGAATTTTCGGTCTTCATTTTTCTTTAGTCGAGTTGAGTCTCCGTTTTTCTTTGGGATTGGGGTTTATATTTTTTTGAGATCGGTCTTCTTTCGTTGTTTTAGATCCCTACTACGATCTCCGTTTGAATTTTTGTTATTTTTTTCATGAACCTATCTGAAATCTCGTCTGGTTTGCTTCTTTCTTGATTTTAGCGTACTGTGTCTAAATATGATCTGAATTGTTTTTTATAGTTTCCTATCTTCATCTGAATAGGTTTTCGTTGTATAATCCTCTGTGTTTATGCCTTTATCATCAACGTGCCTGGATCCGGTGAAAGGTACTCAATTGACTTCTCTGAATTGGGGGTATGAGTGGAGTAATTTTTAACTCTGAAAGATTGCGTTGCAATTAATGGTGTTTTCCCGAATCTAGTTTATGTTATTGCAAATATTTTGTTGTTGTTGTTGTTTCTCTATGTTGATATCTTCCTAAATCTAGGAATGGAAACATGCACTTTTCTCATTTCTTTTAATGACTATGGTCTTAAAAGTTGTTTTTTTTAAAAAAAAAAAAAAAAGGAAAACGAACTTGAGATGCCCCACCAGAGATACCTCGCACCCAAGCATTGCGTAATTGTAAGGGAAGGGTGGGCCTATTTAATTTGTAGTATTTCTCTTGGATATGTACTTTACCATTCTAAACGATTCAGTAATGTAAAACTTTGTAAAATACTCATTGTTATTTACTTCGCTGGTAGTGGTACACTGTAATGCTTCTGATCTTTACTTGTGGGTTTATGGCAGGCTTTCAAATTGTGGCTGGTGGAGTCAAGCACATCGTAAAGTGCTCATTTATCGGATAGTGGGTCTTGGATTGCTCGATATTTGTGGTTGATCCGTTGGTGTTGGTATGGTTTCTAAGATATGGTCTTTCAGAAGAGGTTAGAGTACGGATTTAATGGCTATCAGGTTCCGTCCATGCCCCGAGCTTCTCGCTCAGTTAGGGTAAATATGTTCTGCTTCTCATGTGGGGCTGATTAATACTTCAATTTACTTAAGATTTCATGAAAACAATATTTATAATTGTTTTGTTAAAATGTTTCCTAGAGGAGAGCTAAATTTCAAAGAGCAGAAGACAAGCAAAAGTGTGCATTTGACTTATTGGCCACCGTAGCTGGTAAACTTTTGCAGGAGAGAGAGAATCCAGCCATTTCTAGTGATACATCATTACAAAAGGAACAGTGTAGATTTCTCGAAGAGTGCCAAGATGCAAATAAACCATCAAAATCTGAGCTTTCTGTCGAAAGAAGTTGTGACAAAAAAAGTTTGACAGGATTCCCACATCTTGCAAATGATGGCCACGTAGAGATTGCTTCTACAGTAACAAGTTATAGTTGCTTAGAGAGGTTCATTGCAAAAGAATTGGTGGATGGCAATAGCCAAATCAAAAAGGAAAATGTTACGAGCGAAGTTAAATTAGATTCTTCTGGTTATCATCAAAAGGATAGTCATTTCATGTTAGATGGCGATACTAGTAAAGGAAAGGATGAGATGCATGAGTTGGAGAAGGTGCCAATTGGCAGTGGGATTGAGATGTATAGTTTTGGGGATCCGCTGGATGAAAGTCAACCTGCATTGATCAGTTTAGGTTGCAATGCCAAATTGTCTGGGTTTAATGATAGGATTCCCTGTAGCTTGTTGTCCAAAAGTTGTGAAAATGTACCAGTAGTTAGTAGAGATGATGACGAAAACTCTTCTGGGTGTACTCACCCTATTAATACTAAAACTAGGTCCCTTAGGCCGAAGACTTGTACAGGCGATAACAGTATAAGTAAAAGACTGGCTTCTAACTTTCAGAAAGTTGCTCAAAAACCGAAGCATAATACACTCTCTAACAGTGGTGAGTCCATGCTTATGGTATGAGATTACTTTAACCCGTATCCTTCTTTGCTTGTTCGCTGATTTTTTTTCTTTTCAATTGGGAACATGCTAATTTTAGATGGAGTTCGGAAGCAAACTTACCACAGTAAGAGGAAGTGCAATAAACGCCAAAGTTCTCAGATGAATATTCCTTTCAAAAAAAGGAAGCTTTTTAATTATAAGTCAGTTTCAAATTCTAATGGGTTTACCAGGAGTGGTGGAATTTATTATTCACCCGAGAATTGTATGAATCAGGATGCTTGTGGTTCATCTCCTGGGATGCACAGAGGTTTTACATATTCCCTTTATATGGCTTCCTTCTTTACAGTTTGATTTTTGTTTCACCTCTGTATTTAAGGATCTCTTGGAATCTGTTAAATAAATTTCAAATCTTTGATGCAGACCCTGGAATAGCATCCTTGGAAGCATGTCCACACCAGAAGTTACGACGAATAGGTTCTCATGGTATGAGGAGATTGAGGGAGCAGTTCTTTATGTATTCTTTGACTTGATCAGTATCATCAAAGCGGTTCTTACATGTAAAATTCTTTCTTTTAACCAGTGAAGCTTAGGATCAAGTCATTTAGAGTGCCAGAGCATTTTATAGAGGTTCCAGAAACTGCAACAATTGGATCCTTGAAGGTGTAATAATTTATATATTTGGCCATCTACATACCACCATCTGATTTCTAGATGTTCACGAGGAATGGCATCTATGTAATTTATGAGTTTCCCTTACATTTTAGGAATCCATTCCATTTGCATGTGTCATCACAAGTTCAGTTGGGTGTATTTCTTACAACATTTTGGTCTGCAGAGGACAGTGATGGATGCAGTGACTGCTGTTCTTGGAGGTGAATTGCACATTGGTGTTATTCTGCAGGGAAAGAAAGTCAGGGATGACACTAAAACTCTACTTCAAACCGGTATTTCTCATCATAACCAGCTTGATGCTTTGGGTTTCACCCTGGAGCCTAATTCTTCTCAAAGCCTACCGATTGTATGTGCTGCACATTCTCCCCGTCCTGGCGCTGACATAACTCCGCCTGTAACAAGGTAATGTATAACCTTAAAATGAAGCTGTATGGTAGGAACTAGGGTTGTCAATTAGTGCTCTTAAGTATTGTACTCGAACACACTAATCACTCCTGTCAACATTTCATTTTCCCTTGGAAATGAGGTGTTTATATAAAACTTAATTCAATTATTCTAGTAATCATTGGCATATTTTTGTATAAATTATTTTTCAGATTTACTTTGTATAAAGTATTATTTAATTTTTGTTTCTAAAAATTATTATTCAGGTACCCTTCCAGTCATGCTGTAATTCATCGGAGCATTCAAGGCAATTCTGGCATGTTACCGGAGCATCAAGTAACCAGTTTTGCTAGCCATTTTGAAAGTGACCATGATTCAACACCTTCCCCTGCTAACACTTCCGTTGACAAAGATATGGACGATTCCAAAGAATTGGTTACTGTTCTTGAAATGGATAGGGAGGAACTAGCTATGGTACCTGTACTTCAGAAGCCAAGGCGATCCCAGATGGTACAGCGCCGTATTCGCAGGCCTTTCTCTGTAGATGAAGTAGAAGCACTGGTTCAAGCAGTTGAAAAACTCGGAACCGGAAGGTAAGATTTACATGAACCTTTGTTTGTCCTGACAATAATAATATTTTTTTTTTTCATAAGCTGGGTGGTCTGACAATATTTCGTGGGTCATGTTTGTACTAGTACTCCATCTTGTTGCCAGTGTGAACGTAGATAATTGTCTGTCTTCTGTATTTTTCAATGAGTGGATGCTGGAAAGATTCCTCTAACAATCCCTTTATATTGTATTTTTATTTTTTATTTTTAAAATACAATCAGGTGGCGCGATGTTAAGCTTTGTGCTTTCGATAATGCAAAGCATCGAACATATGTGGATTTGAAGGTAAAAGAGTTTGTGACTCCTTTTGCTTGGAAATTGCAGTATGTTAAACTGTATATGTTACGTATATGACTCCTCAAACATGGTTAACCAGATAGTACCTGTTTACCTAGTGATCTTTCCCTTAGCATGTCTTGTCTTTTACGAAAATAGATTTTGATTTATAAAAGCTTAAAGGCTTTTAAATGTTTTGGTCCCCATAATTTCTTCTCATTAAGGTTTTGGTTCTTAATTAATCACCATAGTTTAGTATGAGTTTTGATCCCTACTGTTAAAGGCATAGATGCTTAGAACTTCCATCCGTTTGGACTTTAATTCATACACAAGTTATGTTCTTAGGTTTTAGCCTTAATTTCCAATGAAAATACTAATTCCCCATAGTTTCCACATATTTAGGGAGCAAGACCCACAAAACTGAAATTACGGCGACTGATAAAAAAGTTAATCATAGAAATCGAAACCTATAGGAGTACAACCTACAGTGTCCAAAATCCTATTCAAACCAAATCTTTGTTATTCCTCACGTTTCTGCTTTTCTGTAAAACTACTGCAAGATAGTGATAATCATGATTTTGATTTCCTTACCTAGCACGCGTGGCGGAGAAATATTTTACATGTGATTTTGGGGTTGTTGCAGGATAAATGGAAAACACTAGTGCACACGGCAAGAATATCCCCTCAGCAAAGGAGGGGTGAACCTGTTCCCCAAGAACTTTTGGATAGGGTTCTAGTGGCCCACGCATATTGGTCCCATCAGCAGACTAAGCAACAACACAAGGAGCATCCAGAAACTGAAACTGTCTTCTCCTTTAATCCTAAAGGCCAGGGGTTGTCTGCAGCAAGTGACCATGTGGATGCTAGTGTATTGGTTTCTGACTTTTGTTAATAGTGTCTTTTTCTTTTTGCTTTCAATAAATATTTATGAAGTCTATCTGTTGATGAACAATGTAAAAAGTGATGATGATTGGAAAAAAAAAAAGAGAAACAAGCCTGCATCTTGTAAAATTATCTTTGCTCATGATGTGGATCTTTCCCTGCGTGGAGACTGCTTCTTGTAAATGATTGATGTAATAAAGTGCTCCCTAACACAATTCTTTTGACTGTAAATATTTAATTGCTGTTGTATAAAGTCATCATGTTTTTACTTGATAGATGAAATCCACATTTTCGTTTTTCCTATCTAATTTCTGAGAATACGTTTGACAAATGAAAGACGATGAAGTTGTCTACACCAGATTTTCAGTGTGAAAAGAGCTGCAAGTGAATGTGTTTTAGAAGCAATACAAGTTTATCTGAAAATTCGATTTATGGGTAATTAATCCGTAGTTTATGGCATCCTGATAGAATCAAGTTTTTTGAAAAGGATAATCTCAATAGAGGGTCCATACTTTCTATATTACTCTTCTTAGATCCATCGGCCAGTAACTCGAGTTGATGCCAATTTCATTTCCTTGAAGACCATACCAGTTCTGTTTGTCATAGTAAATATCATCTAAGTAATGTAATTACTAATTAAACCTCATCTAAATTCTATCTGATTTAAAATTAACAAAATTACAATAAAAGGAAGAAAGAAAAATAGAGTAAAAAAAAAAGGCAGTACCTTTTCTTTCGAAGATAGAGAATAAAAAACTATATCCACCCAAATTTTATCCATGAAGCCATTATTATAGCACTATCAAACAAGTAAATGAACTTCTCCCAATTATTTTTTTCCCTTTTTTTCTGCACTAATGCATGCCGTATTTATTTATTTTATGGTATAATTCTTTAAAATAAAATCTTATATAATTGTTGAGGTTTTAGGGTTTTATTTACTGAAATGATTTGTTGTGAATGTATAGACAAGAATCCCTTTTCTAGAAAAGGGCAACCTGTTTTATGTTCATGCATCTGTTATCTCTTTGTAAATGAATGCAGGCATCATTTTCTGAAACTTTGACAAGAAACAGTTGGATTGTGATTGGAGCAGTTAATATCCATTAATTGAATGTGTGGTTTGCAAAATTTCAATTTCTTTTATCTACGAATATTCCGTTTCATAGTGATCCCATTCCTAATGTGCTAACTCTGTCATATTCAGTTGAAAAAGTAAACAAAGATGGGCTTGTCTATTCAATATAACCAAATTTTCTAAGGATAAATCATTTTTTAATATTTATGTAATGTTTTTACGACATTAATGATCATGTAAGAATAAAATATGTTTGCACTATTATTTAATCACAATTTTCATTAACATAAATTTATATAAATATTATAAAAATCTATAAAATTATTATATATAAGGATTTATCATTAAATCAAACTATAGACAAAATACATATACCATTTTCTTTTTTAAATTCATGTTATTATATTCCTACAAATATATAGTAATTTCTGGTGTGTCACATTGAACACCGAAAGTAGCACTAATGGGTAGTGGACAAAGTAGAAGTAGGGTCTGGTTTTTAATATTCGGTCTTTGTTTTAATGATACGAGTTTATCTTAAATTTTTAATCTTAAATTATAATTTATATAAATTGGTAATTAATATATTTTAAAATCTTTATTTATTAATTAATATTTTTTATCAGATAAATTTAAAAAATTATGATAATTTTATATTAAAATATTTAATTATAATTAATAATTTAAATTTAATTAATTAATTAATATTTACAATTTAAATTATAATATTATTATATATTTTAATAATATAAAATATAAAATTTTTTATTTTAATTTTAATATATAATTTTTGTAAAACTTAAATTAACGAATTAATCCATTCCAAATTTACTCGATGTATTAGTGACCATCATTCACTTTAAAACAAATTAACTGGTTGACCAGTCTGACTTAATTTGTCTTTTAAATAATTTTTTTACATAAATTTTAAAAATTTAATAATTAAATCAATATTATATGCAAGACAATGACTTGATAAAAGCTATTTCACAATTCTTAATTAGCACATCTTTTGAAATAATCTTTTTAATTTAATTATATTAAGAATTTTTGTATTTATTTATATGATAAATAGGATTGAAAATTAAACTTACATTCATATAGAATGATTTATTCTATCCAAATTTGATTGAGAAAAATTGAGTTAATAAAAAATAAAGGTAAAATCTTATTTTTCTCATTTAAAGTGAAGATGGAAACAAAAATATGTATTGGAATCTTGATTTTATATTTAAATTTAAATATTAAATTTTTAATATTTTTAAAATATTTCATTTTCTTTTTTTACATTATATATAAGATTACTTTTTTATATTTCACAAATTTTCTTATATTTCTTCTCACTTTTTCACTCTTTTGTTATTTTTTTAATTTTTAGGATCAATAATTTTATTATATTATTTTCTTTTTCTTATTTTTTATTTTTTACATTTCCTTAATCTCTTTAATTAATTTTTTTAATCTTTTCAACTAATTTGACAAATATAAAGTTAAATTTTTTTAAAATATTTTACATCAATCTTTATAATAACAAATATTATATTATTTTTAATTTATCTTTATTAGATTTTATTATATTATATATATTTTTTATTATTCTTATTTATTATATATTAAGTTTTATTTTAATAAAATAATTTTATTTTGAAGGATTGAAAAGAATTAATAATTAAAATTTTTATTATTTTAAACTAATTAAATAAAAATTAACTTATTAAATATTTTTTTTAAATTATATATTTCATATTTATAAATATTTTAAAATAATAACTTAAAAAATAATTAATTTATATATAAATAAATATTTGAATATAATATAATAATAATATAAGTAGTATATCTCTATAAAAAATATTAAATATTTCTTATATATATATATATATATTTTAATATAAATATAATAAATTAAAATATATAAATAATTAATAATAATAATTATTATTATAAATTATAAATATTTATTACTGCATAAAAAGATATTAAAATTATTTTATTATAAATATATATTTTTTAAATAATATATAACTGCACATGTCGAAAAAATCCAAAAAAACGGAGATAAAAGTTTATTTTTTGAAGAAGATAAAAAAAAATGAAAACGGTTAAAATAATTGAATAACCGGTTCGGTTGTGATGCGTAAATGCCAAATGGTGATAATTATATTTACCTTTCACTCTGCCAAAGAGTTGATATTGGTACTACTCTTTCCCTTCAATAATATAAATAAGACTTCATAATTTGTTTAACCATGATTTTTCTTTTTAATTACTTATACCAATAAACCCTAATTTAGGCATTGAAATATTTTTCCATTTCCAGGAAGAAGAATATTTTGGTGATGGAATCCGCAAGACATGATATGATCCATGCTTCTTATGTTCATCATTCTCGATCTCCTTAAAATTAATGAATAATCATTGGATTTGATTGAACTAGAATCACAATGGGTTAGGGTCATGCATTTTTTTATTTTTATACTCACCTTTAAATAAGTAAATATTTATACATATTCTATATTAGTGAGAATAATAATTTTAATTCTCATATTCATTTTTATATTTATATTTACATTTGTTATTTTCATATTTTACCATCTTACAAGTAAATTTCCTTTATTTATTATGAATATATTTTGTAGATATCAACATGGTTTGTGTACAATTCTCAACCAAAAAGGAATACTACAAAATATATGAGATCTATAACATTAATTGAAGTCAAGTTTAATATTCAATTTATAGTAGTAGATTTTTCCATTTACTAATATTCTCTACCTCGACTTGGATATTGTTGGAAATTGGAATATAGTTCAAAATATGCTATATTAAAATCTAAACTTAATAACCAAATCATATTAACAATAATAATTTATTAGTTAGGTTGGGTATAAACCTTTGGAAAATTGATTTTTTTAATGTAATTGTCTTGTTTAGATTCTAATTCGAATGTGTATGTCAAAGTGGACCAAATTCTTTGGTAACCCTCAGAAAAACAAAAAAAAAACTATTTTTATAATTGTATTGTCACCCATCTTAGTGCAATTGTGCATGAAAACCCATAATTTGAATGGATTTTATTTTGGAATTCACCTGGCCTTTTTCTAGCAATAAGATTAAATTTTTAAAACTATTATTTTGAAAATTACTTTCACATTATCACTCAAGAGTTGCGGTAGGACTAACTGACATGCAGTGTTCAATAGCATTTCTGTAAAATAATGTAGAAACATCATATTTAAAGTAGTAATTGAGGTTTGTTAAGTTAATTAATTTAATTAAAATAATTATTACAACGTTATTGTTGAATTATCATCTAACACAATCTTCCAATTCAGAATCAATTTAACATTCAAGTGTTCTCTTAATTCTACAAGCCATCCATTTTAACTGCTCTTTCCTATTATAGTAATCAAGCCTCAACTTCTTCTTTTTTACTTCATCTCTAATTAAATGAAATCTCAGTTCGATATGTTTATTTCTTTCATGATAAATTAGATTTTTTGCTAAATTGATGACTAACTTATTGTCAATCTTTAATGTTATAGTCTTATATGATATTCTAAAGAATCGATTCATCAAACTCTCGATCCATAGTACTTTGACAAGTTGTGTAAGTAACAACAATTATTCAGTTTCATAAGAAGAGAGTACTACATGTTATAACTTTGATCACCATGAAATCAATAACTTTTCCAATAGAAATACATAATTTGATGTGCTTCTAAACCCAACTTTATTACCAGTCCAATCAGATTTGGAATATCCGATCAATTCTCCTCCACTTTGATATATAGCATTTGGTAATAGAATACCAAAATTAATCGTCCTTTTTAATATAGCTCATAACTCTCTTAGCTGTTGCAAGATGATAAATTTTGAGTTTCTCCATAAATTTGCTTAGCAACCTAACACTAAAACAAATATTCGGCCTACTACAACATAAGTACCTTAGGCAACCAACCATTTTTCTGTAAACATAGTAGCATTTACAAGCTTCCCATCTTCATCCTTATCAAGATTAAAATTTGCTTCAACTAGTGTAATTGTTGCATTACACTCATTCATTCTAAATTTCTTGAGCACATCTTTGATATATTTATTTTGGTGAATCAAAATACCTTCCTAGCCTTCAATAAACTCTATTCCTAAAAAATATGATAGCTTCCTTAGATCGGTCATCTCAAACTGATCTTTTATCCTCCTTTTAAAACTCTTGATCGAAATAATTCTATTGTCAATAATCAACAGATCATCAACATATAGACAAACAATCAACACATCATCACCTTCGACATTTGAGTAAATCACATACTCGATCTCACACTTCAAAAAAACCTTGTTGTCGAAGACAACCATCTATTTTAGTATTCAAGGCTCTCGAAGTTTGTTTCAGACCATACAATATCTTCTTCAATCTGAGAACCTTTTGTTCTTCGCCTGTGATCACAAATCTTGGTCGTTGTATAACATAAACTTCTTCCAATTCACCACTAAAAAATACAGATTTTACATCCATTTAATACTTCTGCCACCCTTTATAGCTAGCGAGAACTACTACTGTTTTTATTGTCTCCATCCTGGAAACATGTGCATATACTTATTTGTAGTCTAAACCTTCTCTCCACATAAAGTCTTTTGACACAAGTTTAGCTTTATATCTTGCAATTGTTTCGTCTAGTTTTAACTTCGTCTTATACACTCATTTTACTCCAATTGACATTTGATTCTTGGGGGAGATTAGTTAACTTCCATGTTTTATTCTTCTCGATTGCCAATAACTCCTGTAGATCCCTAATCTTGCCCGACCTCAAAATAAGAGCAGAAGACCTCCTATTTGAAGATGGACAAAGCCTAAAAAGCCACTAGGAGAGACTATTAGACCCCATATTAGAGTAGGAAGACTTTTCTGTACAAAAAATAAAATAAAATAAAATAAAAATAAAAAAATAATTCTGGCGAGAAGGCCTTCCCAAATAGCAAGGGCGAGAAGGCCTTCCCGAATGGCGAGAAGACCTTCCTGAAATCCCAGATGACCATCTCGACCTAGCACTTTTTCCTATAAATAGGAGCCTCATTCCACCCATTTTCACACACACCATTCACTCCTACCACTCTCTAGGAAGCCTTTTGGCACTTTAGAGTGACTCTGAGTATTTTTCCAGAGTTCGAGTGAGCCTTCCAATTTCCCTTAAGGTAGAAATCGGTTAAGGATGTCCTCTTTTTTTGAGACATTCGGCCCTCGGTAGGGTGACACCTTTATTTTTTGATCGAGAGATGAGTGTCTCTGTAGAGTGCGGGGACTGCCAAAAAGCGTCCTCAAGTTCAACATTTATAAAAGCTCGCTTCGGAGGTTCTCCTTCATATCTCTTCTCTTTTATCGCTTTCTTTTACTCGTTTTCCTTGTATGCATTAGATATTAGGATCATGTAGATAACTATTTAAATTCTGTAATAAATAAATAGGGTAGAAGCATAATTTTATTGTCTTTATTTTAAGAATAGTCCATCATAGGGAACCCGAAAGGGCGTTGTGGGGGTACTAATACCTTCCCCACACGTAACTAACTCCCTTACCCGACTTTGGTTATAATGGCCAAAGTTGGTTTTTCGAAAACCATTGCCTTCTTTTTTCCTTTTCCGATGTTTTCGGTAAAAATATCGGTGGCGACTCCATAAGAACCCTTCAAAGTTAGTTCTTGGGTTAGTCCGGTTATCGGACAATCCAAGAACACTTTTTCGAAAACCTCGCCCCTAGGTTCAGTCCGGTTATCGCACAACCTAAAGGCGTTGTAACCACACCCATAAAAATGCAAAAATTGGAAAGTCGGAACCATCGCGTCGCTCCGACCGCCTCGTTTTGACGGCGGCGACAGATGGCGACTTCACTGAAGAAGCTAGAGAGTTGATCCCATTTAGTGATGGACTAGTTTGATAAATAAAAGACTTAAAAAATTACGCTTTTACCCTACCTTGTGTTATAACATGTTTTAATGCTTGGCTTTAATAACTGTTGTTTGTTTATATTTACGCAATTGTTTGAAATACAAACTGTACACAAACCCTTGCACACAACAGTTCCCTCTATACCCGGGGGCAAGTGAGAAATCCATAGGGAGTGGGTGGCAGGTACGGTTCGTTGTAGTGATGGCCTTGTGCCCACCAGTGTGATCGGAAACCATCACTCAAGGTGATAACCTTCCTCTTTTGGCACAAAGACTGACTATGGCCTTAGTGCTAAGCATGGTCAGAAGGCTGGAGAGTGGGGACCCTATAATGGGGGCACCTTGGGGGCCTAAGCCTTGGTGAGAACAGTTAGAACCTACCCTTGCCAATGCACTTTTCTGCAGGAAAACCCTACCTCGTGATTAAAACGACTTCTCGCCTGTTTGCGGATGAATGAATTGTATGTGCATTTGTTTGTTGCATTTGATTGCATAACATAACCAAACAACAGATAAAAACAAAATTTTACAATAAACACCCTTATCTCGGACAGTCTGTCTTTTAGCTAGCCTGATTTCAGGTTCTTTGTAAGCTAAGTAGCCACGCAGTCCGACAGAAGGAATAAGGGATGCTAATATTATTCTTTCACCAATAAAACCATTTTATCTCGGACGATCTGCCTTTTAGCTAGCCTGGTTTTAGGTTCTTTGTAAGCTAAGTAACCACGCAGATCCGACAGAAGAGATAAAAAACTAAAAAAATAAATCCAAAATAAATAAAATAATAATAACAAAATCAAAACATTTATAAAAAGAATTTTGACAAAGTCGTATCATTCATATTGCATCATGTTATAAGTGGAAAAATGAAGAGAAAAAAATAAATGCATAAGGAAAGTATGCATACGCATCATTTTAATAAATCCCTAAAAAATGGGTCTTAGAAGCGTTTTTTGGGAAAATTACTGGGCCAAATCCCCTTCGGCCAAATTAATAAAATAATAACCTGATTCCTCACCTTTTTCCCTTCGTTTTGATATGTTGTGCGTCCAAATCAGACATCTCAGTCAAAAGTTATGCCACTTTGAACATCTACCGCCCTTTTGTACTGGTGCATGCATAAATACATTCATTCTAAGGAATATCCATCTCATAAATCATTTGTTTTAAACAATAAAAATCTTTTTGTATTCTAGAAAGCGGCTAGTATTCTTCATGCCCTCATCCGCATACAAAAAAAAACACAAAATCCCAAACACTATCATACATCATGTTAGAAAATAAAACATGATAATGTTTAGGAAAAAACAAATACTTACATACATGCATCCACCAAACTTCATCCTCATAACATGCATCTAATAATAGACAATCGAAGAAGTGGACATTCCTCAATACCATGAAAAGAGGATTAGGGCATTCGCATGCCATGCACGGGAAGTAAAAAAGAAAATAAATAGA